CAAGAGGAGGAAACGCCAATGCCAAGGGCATGGAGGACTTTAAAGAACCATCCTCTTGACAAGGTAATCGGTGACATCAACCGAAAGGTAAGTACTCGTAGCTCTCTTAGGGACACCGTAGGTCACATGGCTTTTGTTTCTCAAATTGAACCTACAACCATTTCGGAAGCAATTGATGATGAACATTGGACCTTGGCAATGCAAGAGGAGCTTAACCAATTCAAACAAAATGACGTTTGGGAATTGGTGCCAAGACCCGATGATCACACCATAATTGGTACGAAATGGGTGTTCCGTAACAAACTCGACGAAAATGGAATAATCACTAGAAACAAAGCTAGGCTCGTAGCTAAAGGCTACAATCAAGAAGAAGGCATTGATTTTGAAGAAACTTATGCACCGGTAGCACGTTTAAAAGCTATTCGTTTATTACTTGCTTTTGCTTCATCTATGGATTTTAAACTATACCAAATGGATGTTAAGAGTTCCTTCCTCAATGGGTTTATTCAAGAGGAAGTGTATGTTGATCAACCCCCGGGCTTTGAGGATTTTGAGCACCCGGAGTATGTCTCTAAACTAAAGAAAGCACTCTACGGTCTTAAACAAGCACCTCGTGCTTAGTATGAACGTTTGAGCAAATTTCTTTTGGACAACGGGTTCAAAAGGGGAAAGGTTGACACTACACTTTTTATCAAGAGTAAAAACGATAACATCCTCTTGGTGCAAGTTTACGTAGATGACATTATATTCGGTGCTACTAACGAATCTTTGTGCAAGGAATTTTCAAACCTAATGACAAATGAATTTGAGATGTCCATGATGGGGGAACTCAATTTCTTTTTGGGCTTACAAGTCAAACAAATGAGGGAAGGAACCTTCATTTGTCAATCAAAGTATTGCAAGGAGCTCCTAAAGAGATTTGAAATGGATGGCTCCAAAGCAATGGCTACCCCAATGAGCACCTCCGAGCACTTGGACAAAGATGAAAAGGGTAAGGAAGTAGACGTAAAGAAGTATCGAGGTATGATCGGGTCCCTTCTTTATCTTACCGCTAGTAGACCCGATATCATGTTTAGCGTTTGTTTATGTGCAAGGTATCAATCTTGTCCGAAAGAATCGCATTTAACGGCGGTGAAACGGATAATGAAGTATCTTGTTGGTACAATGAACGTTGGACTATGGTACCCCAAGGGGTCTCCTTGTCATCTTTTTGGCTATTCCGACTCAGACTTTGCCGGTTTTAGATTAGACCGTAAGAGTAAGAGTGGGACTTGTCACTTGCTTGGTAGTTCTTTAGTCTCATGGTTTAGTAAGAAGCAAGTTAGTGTTGCGTTATCCACAACCGAAGCGGAATACGTTGTCGCCGGTAGTTGTTGTGCTCAAATCCTTTGGATGAAGCAACAACTTGTGGATTATGGTCTTAGTATCGATCACATCCCTCTTCGATGTGATAATACTAGTGCCATAAGATTGACGAAGAATCCGGTTCTTCACTCAAGGACGAAACATATTGACATTAGGCATCATTTCATTAGAGATCATGTTCTCAAAGGTGATGTCGAAATTGAGTTCGTTGAAACACACAACCAATTAGCCGACATTTTCACAAAACCTTTAGAGAAAGAGCCGTTCTTCCGCATTCGTAGTGAACTCGGAATCCTTGACTCCACGATGATCCAAGTTGTGCATTAGTTATCATTTTTTTTGGTCCTTACTAACTTGAACGTCGGAGACGCTTTTAATTCTTTTTTGTAGGGATTTTCTTTTAAATCTTATTTTTTTCAGGTGTCAAAGTCAGGGGGAACAAAGTAAATCGATTTTTTTTACCAGACTTGGTGTAAATCGATTTACAGACTTGAGATAATTCGACTATCAGAGCCCGCAGAAGTTTAGAGCCAAGAACCTGAAGGAGCTAACAATCGATTATCAACATTGAGATAATCGATTATTTGAGGCTGCAGAAGTTAAAAGAAACTCAGGTGCAAATTCCAACAATCGATTTACTAAAACCCGTAAATCGACTATTGCAGCCTGCAGTTCTTTTGGCGGAGAATCTGAAGACTCAGATAATCGATTTACAGGGAGTGTAAATCGATTATCAACGGCGATTTTTCAAAAATCTGACCGTTGCAGAGACGTTGGAGGAGCATTTAAACCTTGTTTGACCATTCCAATGGATCTCTACACATCTTCCACTATATATTGGTGATATCAACTCCATTTTTACTCATTCCAATCATCTCTTCTCCATATATTCATCATAATTCATTATTCTTGCTATTGTTCTTCAACTCTTAGCCAAAGTTTCTGCAATTTTTTCTACTCCCTCTCTACTTTGTTGAAATGGCAGGAGGTCAAAGAAAAAGATCCCGCACCGGCAAGAACGTGGCTTCTTCCTCGGCTCCTCCACCACCGGCGCACAAGTATCTCGACGGGTCGTTCCTTTGGTTCAACGACCGCGAAGAGGCTGCGAGGTTCTCGGAGAAGTTTGAGCACCGGGAAATTCTCCCTCCCCGGTTCTCCACCGCACGCTTCATTCACGATTCCATTCCACGGGAGGCACGGGTCATCCTCCAAGAAGGAAACTTCCTCGACCTACTCTACATCAAGAAGAACGACTATCAACCTTTTCTTGATCGAGCCTTCTACTCGAACTTAAAAAAGGATGAGGACGGATCGTTGATTTCAAACGTCAACGGGGTGGACATCTATTTGAGAGAGGAAAACATTCAAATCCTCACCGGGCTTCGTCGGGACAGACAGGATCTCGGCCTATATGTCGGAGAAGAAGGAGCACGATTCAACAAGGCCGCCCTTTTGGAGCTAGTGGGAATCCGCAATTTCGTCCCCACTCCCCAACAGCGGCGTCCAACAATGACTTCCATGAGTCCCGTGTATCGATTCATTTTCTATGTTTTGACACGAATTCTCAAGCCCAGGAAATTCAACCACACCACTCTCTCCCAAGAGGACACAAAGACGCTTCATGCGATGATCAACAACACCAATATCAATTGGTGTAAGTTTGTGATGACTCACATGTTGAATGCCACCTCCGACAACCGGCCGCTCCCCTATGCTCTCCTCGTCATGGCGATCCTTGATGAGTTCCACATCAAGACGGACGTCGGGCCAAAATGCAAAGGAACGAAGCATTGGGAGATTAACGAGTCTTCCTTCCACCCGAGAACCGATGAAGCTACGTTCCCACAGCCTCGTCCTCGCCGCCAACCGAGAGCCACTGCCTCGACCGCCGCCGCTTCGACCAATCCTTCTCTCACCGAGCAAATGGCGGCTTTGACCACCACCCTTTCTCGGATAGACACCAACGTCTCCAAAACGGCACATAACGTCAATATTCTGAGCCGTGAGCTTCACGGGTTTTTTGACTTTGTCAACTACCCCTACGCTCAAATGGTCCCTTATGTTCCTCCGCCAAACCTAGGTGGTGAACCAAGTGGGACTAACGACGTTGGAAGAGAAGAAGCGGTGAACGTTGAAGAAGAAGAAGAAGAGGAAGACGAAGAAGCTGAAGACGAAGAAGAAGAAGAAGATGATGATGATGATGGCAGTGGTGATGAAGAGGAAGACGAAGACATTGACGAAGAATAGCTTCTCAATGATCTTTCACCGGACTTCTAGAGCTCTAGCTCTATTCCCTTCTCTTCTTTATTCTTTTTAAATTTGCTTCCGTTATGTACTCCGCTATTTCCCTTAATTAATTAATAAAAATCTTTATGGTTTTTGTTATTAAAAATCTTTTTGTTAATGTCAAAAGGGGGAGATAAAGGCTATGCATATATCCAGGGGGAATTTTATTAAGGGGGAATTTTTTTCAAAAAGAACAAAATCCTATGCATATCCCTGTCTTGTTTGCCATTATCAAAAAGGGGGAAATTGTTGGAACACACTTTGCACGTTTAACTAAAATCGTGTTCATTTCTGACAGGTTTTGATAATTGCCAAACCGCCGTGGATATAAAGAGTTTCGTTGAATAACTCAAGGCGCGAAGAATGGCATGGAACAAGACCCAAAAGACTCAAGGACAAGATTAAGAATTGAAGACTTAGTCGAGTCGGTCTTTTGTGATCAAAACCGACAATCAATTCCAAGTCTCGGTTCTCAAAGAGTCAAAATAATTTTACAAAATCATAAAATATTTTTGTGCATCAAAATAAACATTTTTGATAATTTTTTAAAATCCCTGGTCCTTGCTCAGAACCAAAATCACCTAAGTTGGCGTACGGTGTTCGACGTTCGTTTTTGGCGCCCGAACCAACTCGGTGGTTTTCTATGTTTTAAACCTAGCTTGTTTTTATCTCTGAGCATATTTAAAAGGTTCCCAAATAATTATTTCATAAAAACCACTTTTGTATCTTGGTCAATCGGTCTAACACGTGAGAAACGGTCAAAACCGTACACACGTGATTTACGACCTTGAAGAC